AGCGAACCGTAATAGAATACAATGAATCCTAAAATTAAGCTCTAAACAAGAGAATACGCTACGCAGAAGTATTAATATGAAATAACCCTAGAGACACTTGAACCTGGAGTGCTCTGATACCAACTTTGATACCCCTCGATTCTAGAGCTACGGATGATCAAGTCCGAGTACAAATCCAAGAGATACCAAATAATTAAGTATGTAAACAAGCATATAATAGAAGAAGAATTACAGAATAAAGAATAAATAAGCTGAAAAAAAACTAAATAATAATCTTTAAATTTTAAATTAAATAATCTAATATTCCAAAACCTCCAATATTATTACAACTCGGGAATCCATCTAGTGAACCCCTAATAATATCCCAACTGTAATTAAAACAACTGAACTACAAAGCAAACCAAAACTAAAACATGAAGAAAAATCCTACGTAGACGGAAGAGTGAGTGACTGTCTCTACTCGGCATGAACAAGCTCTAAGCCTGGAACTGTCGAACATCTGAAAAATAATAGTGGGTCAGGCCTACGAACAAGTTCTCCTCTACTACAATCCAAATAGAGACCCGATATGCAGATACATCCTAAACAACTCAACAATAACTAAATAGTCCATATATGCATATATACACACTATATGATGCTCATTGGACTATAGGTCTGTTTCAACTTGAATAGAAGACAACATGCAAATCGCACATAAAGTGGGCATGTGTACCTAGACCTACCAGGGTACCCAAATGTCTACTATATCCAGTTATCCATCCTAAGCAATATACGCACTCTAACTATAATCCTGAGACTCAAGCTCATATCATGGCACCATAATCATATATATATAAATCTATCCAAAATCAATGTATGTCATTCAACTGTTCATTGACCTGACATAAGTATAAGTAGGATTTAAATTTTATAGTTACTCAATTCCCTTATAATAAAATAGGTAGGACTTAGTGTTTTGAACTAATCCATCCCTAATATGCCACCGTCCCATACCGGTGTATATGATCCACAAAATCCAATAATTGACAAAACCAAATAATATAGTTCATCAATTAAAATAAGATATATAACTGAGCACATTATACTAAAATATTCAAAAGTAATTTCATATAAACCCATTTAATTTGCTAGAATAACAACAAGTAATTAAACCTTCCATAATCCTTCACAGCATGCAAATCAGTATTAAAATTTCATGATGTCCAATATCTTAGCATAATAGCATAGATTAACCATTTTGGGATTTTAACATAATTATTTAAATAATTTAAAACCCCCCATTAAGTCCAGAATCTCATTTTTAGCTCCTGAAGTTCCAAAAACCCAAAAATACACCCGAAGGTGTATCGCCAGCAGGGGAGCCGCCTCCCTTAAGAAGGGAGCCGGCTCTCCCCCTTGTGGGTCATGGAGAGTCGGCTCTACCCTTTGCGGAGCCGTCTCTCTCTCTCCCAGAGCCATATGCTTAAAAAATTAAAGGCGCCGACTCCATCCCTTTCAGAGCCGGCTTTGCCCCTGCTTCCCATCTTCTTCCTTGCCTTCGGCGATGTTAAAAACCCTCTGTAATGCTTTGTTAGGGTTCCTAGGATCTAATCCATGTCCAAAATAAACCCAGAAATTCATATAAACATAATAGACATCATTAACTATAATTAAAACACAAATGATGAAACAGTTTATATGATAAATCAACTTCAGTTAAAAACACAAAAATAAAGTTTAAACTTTAAATTAACATTCAAACAAGTCCAATTAATGTCCGATTAAATTCTGGAGATTATCTAGGCGTGCACATAACACAAGTTTAAGGGAAGAAGTAAGAGAAAGAACTTGCTTTTGAGATTTTGGATTAAAATCTCAACGTCGTATTCCTAGATTTTTCGGCAATCCTTGACTGTTCTCAACTCCTCTGTTGCCCTTGGTTCAACCAACAAGCAAACTTCAATAACCTCTCATTGGTTCAGCCTTGGTTCTTGGCCAATCCCTCTCGTCCTTCTTTCTCCGTTCTCTTACCACTCTTTGTTCTTTCTCTCTGCCTCCACTGTTATGTGAATAGGGTTTTAAAACCTTTGGCAGACATATAACGATATAAATATAGGCTTATACTAAAAACCTAATTCTAATTACCTAAGGAAAAGGAAAAGAAAAATAAAAGAAAATATAATACATATATATATATATATATATATATATATATATATATATATAAGTCTGCTATTCCCCAACGTGATTTCATATATATATATATAACCCTAAAACTATATATTACATATATACTGAATACTGATACTAATTTAACCATTAATAATAATTAATAATTAAATTAACCTTATATACATATATACCCATATATATATATATATATATATAACCCTCCATGGGTATCAACTGTACCCATTTCATCTCCTATCCAAGTAATCCATGTGACTTAAATGGTTGGTCCATTATTACTATTCAAGTCCAACTCCTTAAAATAAAATAAACATTTAATTTGAAATATTTAATTATAAATAAACACTTAGCACATAAAACAGATAGCAAATAACATTTAATTACATTATTCAATTAACCAATTTATTCAAATAAAATAATTAGCTCAATTTCCACATAGGCATATAATTTAAATGAAAACAAATAATTCAATTTAACAATTAAACAATTAAACAAACAAACAAATTATCAAATAAGGAACTTAAAAATGCAATAAAATCATAAAATAAATACCGAGACTATCCTTGTAAAATTAGGGTATTACAATAGGGATGTAAACATCATCCATAGAAGGAACACTAGATCGCTGATCTCGAAGGGTCTTGATCTCATCCCGAAGTTTTTTAACTTAAGCTTTAAGCTCATTAACCTTATTAAAAATTGTTTTAACATCTTTGGCTAAAGAAGAAAACATGAGATTCCCATCATCCTTGGTAAAGATACCTTTGAAAAAATATAACCTATCTTCGATAGAGATAGAAGACTTGATTGCTGCTTCTTCATTTTCAGCCTTCCTAGAATTTTCCCGAGCAGATTTGGGCTTATTTAAGGCATGAAGATCAAAGGTACTGTTTATTTTCCTCATATAAACCCGAGGAGTAAGAACAATCCCATTTCGTTTGTAAAACTCCATAATCACCATAGGGAATGGAACAACATGATTTTGCTTATTCTACGTACAGGAGATGAGAATAGTACACACAATTGTCAGGATATGGTTACAATATGTTTCTATATGACCGTGCCATTGTAAGAATATAGTTATGGTATTTTTAGGTGTGATTGTGCTATGGTCAGGATATAGCTAGATATTTATATTATTTTTATGTACCATGGTACGAGCTTAAAGTCTCGTGATCAATGGTTAGGATGGAGACATATATTGTCAATTGAAATGGGTAGCTGGACATAGGGATGTGTGTGCCCTGGTAGAAAGATGATTCATGACCACCTCGTGTGCGCTTTGCATGAGATACTCACTATCCGGTTAAGTCTGCCTTAGTCCAGCGAGAGTCTTTAGTGTGTATATTTATATTTATCGGTTATATAGATATTGCATGAGTTAGCTAGGGATGTATCGTTCACTAGGTCTCTGTTTGGGTTACAGTAGAAAGGACTTGTTCGTGGGTTTTGACCCACATTTGTTATATTTTTCAGGTCCTCATCAGTAGCAAGATTAGAGGTTGCCCGTGCATGTAATGACCCAAATCCGTAGATCCAAATTGCTAGCCAGGTCCCAACCCAACCCGAAGGCACTAAGGGTAAAATGGTTATTATGTACCTCCCCATATTCTAGGAATCATAATGATGGCACACCAATCGTTTCTAACCAAATCGGTTCATGAAAGAGTGATATCCTCGACTATGGGCTCAATCTAGGTCCCTAGGGTTGATAAGGGTAAAATGTTCATTTCATGCAAAAATGATGGAATGAGACCTACACCATTAGAAACATTCGATCATAGAGTGAGTTGGAGGGATTTAACTCTCAATAACAATCGGATCGTTGATTATCCACAATAGAAGGCACACAACTGCACAAGAGTTTAAGATAAATTAATTGGTAATCATCATATTACGAAAGTATTTTGTAACTGATGAAGAAATTCAAAAGTGGTTTATAAATTGTTAGAAGACAAGCTTTTTAAATTATTTTATTAAATACTTAAATATTATCAACTTTTATCTTTAAAAGAAAAAGGAGGTAGAGAAAGAAAAGAAGGATAATTTATCAACTTTTATTGCTTATACTTTTCTCTTGAACACAAGTGGCTAACCAAAACACAATATTTTGCCAACTTATCTTGTATAATCATTTAATTTGGATAGTGTACAATATATTTTGACAATATTTTATTTTGGCTCACAACTTTATGTTAGAGAAAGTTGTAACAATTTTAATAGCCATATGTGTACAATATACAAGCAGGTTTAATCCTCAATTTAGAATTTTTTTAGAAAATTAGTTAAAATTATATCTTAATTTTTTTAAACAACTTACACAAAGAAAAAAATGGTTTATGAAGACAAAATTAAGCTATTTATCATTAATAGCACATTATATAGATGATGAAGGGACACTAAATTATATAGGAAATTCGTTTAAGATGGTTGGACCTCGTGTATGCTACTATTTATTAGACATAAGAAAAAGAAAAAAAGAAAAAAGAAAAAAGGGGTAAAGTTTTGTTTACCTCAATAATGTTACCTGTGTTCCCTTTCCCTTCCCAACCTACTAACCATTACAAGGATTAAAAAAAAATAATAATAAATAAAATGTATTTTAAATGAACATGTTAATAACATTGTATAATAACATGAACCACCAAAATTTCGCATCGAGTCCCCATTTTCATTTAGGTAATTTGGTATCAAATTTCAAAATTTGAATCGCCCGCTTAAAATCGCAATAAAAGAAGAAGAATTCAAATCTCTATCTTCAGATTCCTCACCTCCCTCCTCATTGTCTCTCTAAACTCTGAAACGTAACAGAAAGATATAGTTAGACAATGGTGAAATCAACTCCACAAAACCCTAACTCACTTCATCCACCGGCAACTGCCAGCGGTCCTCCTCTGCCGTCCCAGGGCGGCGGCTTCTTACGATTGCCCTGGCGACCGAGAATAAGAGTCACTTCCGAGTTCAACAGTGTGAGCTCCATCTTCTTGCACAAGATGTCGTGCAAGTTGTTTGAAGACTTTGCAAAGCTAAAGCTCTGTTTTCAGAACAACATCAAGGGCGAGATCTTCCAGCCCCAAGTGGCCCTTACCTCCAACCGCCTCTCGCTCCGCTACGGTCTCGAAGATAAGAACGCTTTTGTCAAAGGGTGTCTGGATGTAGGTCGCCGTTTGCAGATAAGAGCTGCTCATGATGTGATTGTCCTTCCTACACTCTCTTACTATATATATGTTCATGTTTGAAACATTGAATTCGAATTGCTTTATCGATTGGTCTACTTTGTGGTCTCTCTTTGTGAATTTTGTTAAAGGAGGATGGCAACAGCCTGAATGAATTGATTTTAGCAAGCAATTTAAAATGTTTATATTAAATTCTACCTTCTTGTTTCTCCACCTGCACGTGATTCTTAACTTTATGGCACTGATAGAACTGAAAACTGGAAATTCCATCACACATTAGCCAACAATAAATTAAGGTCAGAGAAATCTAACTTATGAGAATTCTAACGCTGCCCTGCAAAATTCATTCAACAAGGAAAGGTTTTATCTGTTGCTCGATGTGGTTTCTTTGTAATAGTTTGGAACTTATCATGATGCTGGTTTCGGTGTATTCCAATATAAGTAGCAATGTTCATTTACTACACAATCTTTGGTCTAGATGTGGTTGATGGGACTCTGATTTTGGGGCTGACGGTTGCATATTTGAACCATTTATAACGATTTTTACAAAATCTTCAATATTTCTACTCCATATTTATAAAGCTTTTTTTCCCCACAATGGTGAAGTTGGTTCACTAGGATCCCCTTATTATGGATGAATTTTATATATTATAATCCCTTTTAACTTTTCATGGAGGTCTGTTGAAAATTTTCTAGTGTTATTTATATAAAGTTTCAAACTTGCATAACCGTAGTTAGATTAACTTCATTCATGGCATCATTCACATTGATTTCTTCGAGGTGCAACTTACAGAATGAAGTTTCATGGTAAAGCTGTCCCCTCTAAATAAATTTGAATCATATAATGGTAATTCTTTAATTAGAGTTATATCTAAACAATCTCTTACAATATCTTATTTCTTCTTTAGGCACAACAACTGGAGTTGTCAGTTGGTGCTGATATTGCTGGTCCAGCCTATAAAATTGGACTGCCATCTGCTTCTTTGGTGAGAATAATTATTTGCATATGGTGTAGAACAGGATTACACATTCACTTTTGAGGTAGTTGTGGGCCATTCGTAGTGATGCCATTTTTTTTCTTGGCTTGTCTACCTTGTGTTGTTGATAGCACACTTCAAGTTGCACCCTTCGCACTTACGTTTTGTAAAATTGTTTGCGTAGCTTTACTTCACTGCGTTAAGAACAATAGCATACTATGGTTCTGAAACCATTATTTGCCTTGCTGGTGCTTGCAGCCAAGAGCAAACTTTAAATTTCCTCTTGGTGAAGTTACATTGGCAGAGAAAGAGGAGGAGTACGAGGAAGCTGAGAGAATGCTGTCTATTAATGGGGTCCTTAAAGGTCATATTCCAAATGGGGTTTGTACTGCTCAATATGCTAATCAAAACTTGAAGCTAAGATACTGCTATAAGGTAGTATCTTTAGATATTTTCATCCGATGCAGATGCATTTTCTATGAGTTTCTCACTCTCATCCCTTCTTTTGATCCATCTCTTTATTACGTGTGACTATCACTTGATAGCTAAATTTTGTTATGAACATTTTGAATTTATTGCAGGATGAACAAATGGCCATTATTCCAAGCATTTCACTTCGACCTAATGGATTATTCTTTGCTTTTAAGGTTCAGTTTGGTCCTTACGACAATTTGAGGTGAAACCTCTGTGTGTGTGTGTATAAGTACACCGACTTGCATAAATGTTTGCGATATTTAAATCTCAAACTCCTATTTCTATTTCTGCAAGCATCTCTTTTGAAGGGGCAGAAAGTTAATAACCACCATAGAATCACAATTTCGTGAGCTGTTGTAGGTTTGATCCAATTTGGTGGACCTACTTATTTTATTTTTGTAAGAATTGACACACCTACTAATTCATCTCTTTGAATTATCTGAACCAATGAAACTATGTGAAACAGTCATACAATGCTACTGAGCTATGTACTTTATGGACTGTGATACATGCTAGTCTCTAATGCAGTGAGTTAAAGAACCGGGGATATTATGTAAATTGACCATGCGAAAAGATGTCTGACTTGAAAATGGTATGTTTCAAGTTTAACATAGAACAGAAGGCTGAAGTAAATGGGCTATTAAGTAACTAAATATTTTTGTCAATTCATGTGCATATTAGATCAAATCATCCTATGCTAACCATCTAATGTATGCATGTTTTTGTTCTTCCTTTCTTTTTTCTTTTTGGGAGGGCTTGGTCTTTAATTTTTTTTTTTTTATGGCTTTAAGTTGACAAAATTAAAGTACTCAAATATTACTTAGAAATGATAACATAAATAAGTTATTAAATTAAGCTATGTCAACGATTATAGTAGTTGCATGTGGACATGAACTTAAATTAGGTTGTTTTGTTATTAATTGGTATTGCCTTGTCTCTTGCGAATCGATAATTGTAGGTGTTGTTTAAGATTAAGTCTGAGTTTGTAATTACTTTTATAATTCTATTGCTAGCTACTGGTACAATTTTGATTCAAACTACTGGAGTACAGTGTACAAGCACACAGTTGGCAAAGACTTCAAATTCAAAGCTAGTTATAATTCAGAAGTGCGACGTGGTTGGGCATCTTTATGTGTAAGTGCTTTTATTGTTTTACAGATTAGCTTTTTGCACTTAGTAAATATAGTTTTGATTTCATTCTTATAGTTGTTTCTTGAGATGTATATTGAAAACATTTAAAATTAGTGTCTCTTGTTTACTACTGTGGATGACTAGAATATTGTAGTAACATGCCAATCTTAAGGCCGTTAGGCTCAAAATTGACTGCTAGGTTCTGAACTCTCTCTCTTGATAAGCTTTGAAAACTCTCAAAAGTATATATGTTGATGGTTAAAAATTTTCCTTTGACTATTATTGTTGTTGTTGCTATCTGTGCTTTCTTTCTTTTTAAGCACTGTCTCAATTAGTGATGTTTTAGACCGACTGTATGGTGATCATTTTTACTGTCTTGGCTTTCCACTAAGAGTAAACTCTTCTTCCCTCACAGTGCCTTATATTTTTCTGGTGCCTTAGAAGTATACATGGCAAAGAAAGTAAAAGAAAAAAAGAAGATATTGATGTTTCCTCTGTAAAACCCATCCTTTCCACCGACCCAAGAGTGCTAGCATATAATTTATTATTTCTTTGTTAAAGACCTGGCCTAATCGGTTTGGATTTTTGTTAGTTATAGATAATGTATTCGGCTTTCTAGTTAAATTGGCTGTTCTGTTTGGTGTCTTCTCAAAGTGCAAGTATATGAATGACTTGGCTGAAGTGCTCGAAATAAAAATGAATAAACTAAATTAATCTTATACTGATTTCGAGACGGCATTTCCTTCCTCCGAATTTGGGCATCCATGTATTGGAAAAGAAAATTTAAATGCAAGATCCAAAAATGTTTGAACATGTTCCTGGCTGAGTATAAGTTTGCTGCGCATGTTCCCCTTCTAGTTTCACTGAATCCTTTGATATTCATTTTCGTGAAATTGAAGCCTTTTTTTTGTTTCATTATTTGACAATAATTTTCAGAAACTCTCGAGAGTGACTAGTTTTCATAAAATTATCTAAAATAATGTTATTTGTAACTAGGTCTCATTTTGCTTTTAGAAAATAATTGTTCAAATGCATTCTCACAGTTTTCTGGTTTTAATTACTGGAGAACAAAAATCTATTTGTAGAAATCTGAAATAAGCAGGCTTTGAGAGTTCACTCTTGATTTCATTTTGTCTTGGTCTCAGGTTGGAGATGAAGGTGGCAGCACAAAGACAGCTCCCCTGAAGATGAAAGCTCGGTTCATGCTCCAAGTGCCACAAGATGATATCAGATCATCCGCGTTGATGTTCCGTGTGAAGAAGAGGTGGGATATATGAGTCTGTTTGTTTTAATGATGTTGGTTGCATCTCCACCTTTTTTGAGAGGGCAAAGATAGGCTTAATATGTACGGGAGTTGATTGGGTTACAAACCTTAATGGTTTTTTTTATCAACTTTGTGTCATAATGGTATTGGTAAAAGCTCAAGCTACCAAGAATTTGAATGCATGTTTGAGTTTTGAGGACAGTGTTAGGTTTGTATCATGTCAGTGCTTTTCAACATCGTGTTCATAAGGTCATGAATTACAGACGATAAATTTAAATATCATGCAGTGTATCACAATGGCTTGCTTAAAATGAGATCGAAATTTAGAAGGCAATGCTGGTCATCTTTCACAGAAGTATTGCTTCTAAAGTTCTGGGAAATCCAATCCAGTTTTATGTGTTGTGTTCACTCTAAATGAAGTAATTGCTTCTAAAAGTTCTGAGCTAGAAAGCATTGACACGTCTCTTGGGAGTGTCGTGGCGGTGTCGGATAGTTGGACTCGCGTTGGAGACGGCTAGAAGTGTCTTGAAATTTAAAATGGGACCGAAATTTAGAAGGCAATGTTAGTCATCGATCTTTGTGAAGAAAGGGAAATCCGATCCAGTTTTGTGTCCGGCCTGTTTACTCTAAATGAAGTGATTGCTTCTAAGGTTCGGAAGCTTCAGCAGAGAAAGAAAAAATATGCTTGAACTCACATGCAATGAGGCCTGTGGTGAGAGCTTCTAAAACTCAATTAGATTTGATGGGCTCAAACACCTTGTGAGCTTCTGGAGTCCCCCCAAATAGAATCTCACACTTTTTGACCACATTGAGCTGTAGCCTGTAGACATTCTATTCTATGGTTTTTTTCACTGTTGATAAAATAGACTATTGCCAAGCAGCTTCTAAGATCCCTTAGGCTGGTTAGATGGAAATTGCAAGTACAGAAAGGAAATGGAAATTGTAAGAACACTTTATAAGCTTGGCTTGGTAAGCCTAAAAGAATAACTTTCTAAGAATTACTTTTTATAACATTCTAAGAGAATCTTCGGCAGCAGTATGTTAAAATATTCGTTTGTGTAAAATATACACTGTTACGGATGATGTGTAAATTTTTTTTTAATTTTTTACCTCTAGCAGTCTATATCAAGAGTTTGGCTGAAGCTTGTGTGAGTGCGCGCGCGCTCACATCCATAGGAGCAATGCTCCTGTGGGGTGATATGGTTATTGCCTCTACTTCTTTGTTCTGGCTTGAAGTTATAACGGTCTAGTCAAGCTTCACGTAGTGACATAGTAAAATTATATAATTGCTTGTGTGGGGGTATGAAATGATTTATGTTTCATTCGAAGTAAGCTCAATCAAGCTCCAATTATTGCTTGTTAGATTTTTTTTTTTTTTGAAAGAGATAAGGGCGTTTTGGACCATTAAGGAGTCTAAATAGTATTTTTGTACACTTTTGTAATTAGTACGTTTGATAAAGTTGATTGTCAAACTTAATAGTTTGAAAAAATTGGCATATTTTAAAATATGCATAATTAAGTAGATTTTTTTTAAATTTTTTTTTGTTTTCGTTTTTTACAAACTTACTTAATATATGATTGATTCCTTAAGTGAGGACCATTGGAGATGCACTTATAAAATAAAGGAAATAAAAAAAATTTAAACAAAATTTCATAAAATTTTACTTTCCATAACAACCTAACTTTCTTATAATAAAGACGAAAGTCTTGAAACAAAATTACTTTTCATAATTACCTAACTTTTTTATAAAAATATATATTTTATTTTAAAAAATATTTTTTTTTAAGAAAAATTTATGAACCTTACAATTATGCCCTTTATACTATTCAAGCTTAAAATCGAGCTCCCTAAAAATTTTCTTACTAATCAAACATAGTAGGGAGTCTTTTATATATATACTTTCTTATAATAAAGAAAATAAAAAAGGGGAAAGGAAAATTAAAATCTTGAAACAAAATTACTTTTCATAATTATCTAACTTTTTTATAATAAAAATTTTCTTACTAATCAAACATAGTAGGGACTCGTCTTTTATATCTATACTATTATATTATTGAAAGTACAAGTATTTCAATTTTAATTTTAATTAAGCAAAATAACTAATTTTAATTTTAACTAAAATAAAATGACAATTGAATTTCCAATTTAAAATTTTTCTACTAATTCAATTGAGTTTCCAATTTAAAACTCTTCTATTAATTTAAATTTTTTTCCTAAAAATTATATTAATATATAAGGAAATCTAGTTAGAGAAGGAAATATATAATATTAAAAAATTAATATATTTATTTATGTTTTACTCCTATATATAAATAATATATATATAGACGCATGTGCACACAAAAAGATAGATACATACTATAAGAAGAGATTAAGAAAAGATGCCGGCGGCGCCGAAGGAATCAGTTGGAAAAGCCGGCAACGGTGCAATCGTAGCGGGGTTGGCTATGACTTTGGCGGCATGGCCGTGCTTCGAGTTATCACGGTTTTACACTGAGCATTTGAAGCCCAAAATAATGGACGAAGTCGAATCTGTTGCCATATCTGATCTACAATCCCTCCTTGACAGCTCCCGCTCCACTGCTGGAAGGCTCGTCTTCGTTCGCGGTATAGTTGAGGCCAAGTCCGCCGATCATTACTGTATTTCCTTGTCCGGCAAGGCAGCTGTTGCGATTCATAGAACTTTCTATGTACGTATGTGTACTTATCTAATTTTAAACAATATTGTTGCATATATCTTCATGTTTAATTATAAAAACTATGCGATTCTATATAATAATATATATATACATACACAGAGTAATGACAAATTCTACTAATTTTACGTTAATAGGGCTGACGTGATGTAAACATATACATACAGTATAATGTAGGAGTTTTTTTTTTTGGGTTAACTGGTAAGCCCAATGTAAGAGTTTAGTTTTGATTTGTTTCACATTAATGCGCCTTGCCTTAAAAGCTCCAAATTTGAGTTTTGGCACTAACCCAAAATCTCTCTCTCCATATATATATAAATATATTTACCAAACACATTAAAAAGGGAATTTCAATGATGGAACAAAATCCTCCCCAACACTGCAGAAGTTTGAGCTGGTCGCGTTCACAACGTTGCTGGCAAGTACGTGTACATCTAACTTTCTTCATACATGTTAGAAAATGTTGGAAAGTTGGCTTTGCATCACTACATCCAACTTTCTCCATACATGTTAGAAAAATGTTAGGAAGTTGGCTTTGCATCACAACAATTTCCTAACGTATGTCTCAACTTTCTCCTTATTTTGTATGTATATACAAAAATTTTGGTTTTTTTACAGTCCTCCGTTCTGTTCGAGCCGGTGTCGTTCACTACGTCGCTACTACCCAAACAAGTCGTCCATGGCAAACCTTTCTAGACTTCATCAACTACCTGGAGAGTGGTGATGAGCTTCCTTTCTAGATTTAGGCGGGCCAAGTTCAAATGTAATTTGTCTTTGCCGTCACTAGACTATAGAGTTGCCTCAACCTAAATGGTAGGCAACATGCAAAACACACATATAGTGGGCATGAGTTCCTAAACCTACCAGGGCACACAACTACACTATATTTAGCTACACATCCCTGGCGATATACGCGCCCTAACCATTAATCCTGAGACAATAAAATTCACTCCATTAAGTTACTTATTATACAAATACATAAATAAATATATTACATCCAACTTTCTCCTTATTGTACATGTCAACTTTCTCGTTACTTTGGGATACATGTTTGGAAAATGTTGGGAAGTTGACTTCGCATCACAACATTTTCCTAACATACATCTCAATTTTCTCCTTATTTTGTATGTATATACAAAAGTTTTGCTAAAGTTTTACTTTTTTAATTTCGGCTCGGACAGGTCCTCCTATAGCGCAGGAGAGGATTTTGTTAGACCGTCTACTTTTCTTTAATTGAAATTCCCTTTTAGTTCTTTTTGGTAACAAAAGAGAGGAAAAAAAAGGCACATACATAAATATAGTTTGTATTATTTTATTATCATGCATTTTAATCTTTTTATTTTCATTGAATACATTTGAATCTTTTTAAATCCGTACCTTCACTGATTATTGTGCTATTTTCCTCTCCATATAGAAGTACTTCTCTAAAGATTGGAGAGACTTATTTCTGCCAATTTCTGAATTGAGCACTCGCATGGAGGAATTTCATAAAAAACGTGTTTGGGTTCCATTTACAAAGGTATGTTCGTAATTCCACTGTTGAAATCCTCTTTGTTTTTTTTCCCCCCCTATTTGATACCCCTCCCTCTCTCACTACAAGGAATTATTTGCACCCAAGAGTAGTTAAACCTTAGACTTCATAATGCAAAGATTACTAATTTGAGATCTATTAGACATATGATGAAATAGAAAAACTCAAAAAAAATACGTGTGTGTGAGTATCAACTAAAAAAAAAAATGTTGCCTAGTATATTTATAGTATATATATACGGAAGTATTATTTGGACACTCCAAAGGCTTTCTAAAATATGTAAATATCTGGTGAATGGAACATACTGCCTTCCATATTTGATTAATTTTGTGTACCTGGTTTTGGCTCCAACTTTTGTGCAGGTCCCTTTTATTCTTGTTGAAGGTCGTCAAAAGCCTCCTTCGGATTACGTTGTTGTGAATCTGGATTTCATGTCAGGTCCCTATCCTCGCATGTTGAGTGATGTAATACCTCTTGAGACAAACTATGGAACGTGCGAGCCGGTCAATCGTTCGATTAAAGACATCTCAGAACCCAGTAAACATGGGTTCCCTGTACGTTTCAGTTTCCCTCTATCTCCTTATAAGAAAACTAAAGGTATATGCTTGGTTTGGAACCATGGAAACAGTTTTCTATTTTCAGTTTTATAATTCTCTGAAAACTATTCTTTATTTTTGAGTTTCTGAGAACTGTTTTCAGAATTGCAAACCAAACAGATCCTAATATTCTTGAGTTTTTTTTCCCCTGCTAATAATCACATGCACTCTCTCTTCCTTTGTAGGTTTGTCAGTGGCGGGAAGATGAAATTCTTCCAATTGGAAAGCGTATCAGTGCAGTGGGCATGTGCCGTCGTGAAAATGGAGTCCTTGTCATTAGCCGCTGTGAAGACATTGAATTTTTCTTGTAAGGGGTTGCTTTTGAAAAGTCTTATGTTAGGTTTAACGAAATTAACATTCGTGTTAATGTTCTTCGAATTGGAACTCCTGAGCGCCAATTTGGTGCTTTCAAACGTAGCTTTATTTTAGTAATGGCTTTATGCTCTCATACTTGCTGGTATTACTTTGCTTTTGCAGGACTAATTTTAGAAGTAAGGATGAGTTGGTGGAAAAGGTTTCATCACGAAGCAGGGTTCTTCAAAACTTAGGCGTTATCTTTGGAAATTTGGGACTTGGATTCTTTACCTATGCTGGTGTGAGGTATGTGTATATATATTCTGGTACTAATATTGAATAATAATGCTGCAAGAAACATTATATATATATATATATATATATATATATATATATATATGGATCATTGAGACGAATTTAGGTACTAAATTTGGTCCGAAAACGATTATTTTGTTGTCAGGAAGTGGAAAGCATGGAGACAACGCTGAGAATGTAGGTACATTGTGTCTTTTCAATTTTGCTGCAATGAGTAGACGATTCGCATTGAACCAATGTGAATATGTATATTTATATAAATTTTTTTTATTTAAAATTATGTTATATTGGGTAACTATTAAATTAAAAGCATTTTAATAGTTTTCAATTTTAGTTTTTATAGAGACCTTTCAAAGCTAAATTTTTTAGCTCGTTTTGGGTAAACATAGACATTAGCAAATTTGTCTTTTCAATTTTGCTGTAGAGTAGACCATTAGCATCAGCATTGGACCAATGTGAAAAAGTATATTTATATAAATTTTATTTTAAAAATTAGTTTAGATGTGTTTGATAATTATTAAAAATACTTTAATAATAAAAAGAATTTAAAAACTATTATTATTAATCAAATGAAAAATTGCGTTAAACGGCAGTTCAACTAACAAAAGCACAAATAGTCCACGCATTGCTCTTGCAGATTTTGGTAGATGAGCCGCCAAACTCCCTATCTTACAAGGCCAGCTCAACATCGCGTATGAGCCCGGTTAGATTTTGGGCCTTACACGGTGCAACTGGGCTTCACAGCCTTACACGGTGCAACTGGGCTTCACTGGGCTTCACATTGTGCTGTGGAGGGTGGAGATAACCCACTCAAACATTGAGAAAGATTATCTCATTATATATATATAGTATAATAACATTATAAAAATAAATAAATTTTGTTTTCACGATAATTGATCAAACAAAGGCCACATATTATTTAAATTTTTATATATTATTTAATATAAATAATATATTAATATCGATTTCTATAAATAAATTTTTCTATAAAATGGCGATTAGAATGAATGATTCATTAACATCAATACAAATTGACGAATCAAAATGGAAAGATTCCTAGGGTCTTTCAAGGAGGCAGCGGGGATTGACTTCCCCTTGGTAGGGTGTAGGAAATTTAAGAATTAAAATTAGAATAAATTTTATTTAAGGATAGTTACATAAATATGGATTTTTGAATGGCTTGTTGCAGAGTAATGGAGTTAAAAACCACCTTTTTCCACGGTCATGTATTTTGCAAGTCCGAGGTGGACATGAAAAAAGAAAAAAAAACTAACGATTTGTCAAAATTACCCTTTATATTTTCACGTACCACTCTTGTGGCCACTTGTCAATAAAAGTAAAACAGCTCAGCCCTATCATCAGCCATGGATTGGAAACCAAGGGAAAATCCAGATAATATTATTTGCTACAATGCACATACAAAAAGATAACCACCAGAACGTGGAATCATTCATGAGCAACTACAATTAATTGTAAAAGAACACTGCGCCCATTAAAAAGTCCTACAAGAGATGCAGGTTCACTCTCATCAAGTTCTTGAGCAACGTCTTCCACATACACTACTTTTCCTTCTCTGACATGAGGCAGAACAAAATCCAAGAATTTGCTCGGAAACCGCAAATCCTTCCATAGCAACTCACTCGCACATTCGGCATATTGGGAGAGCATTCCGCACAGAGCAAATGCGGCCGTGAATAAAGTTATTATTCACAACAATTAGTCACTGACTGTGTTCAGTGTTTGAATTATATCTGCAACACACATATAATGATTGCCTGAGACATTACTACTATGTTATTATGAAGAGTCGTGATATTCAGGCCGACTGGGTAAGCCTATTTGTCAAAGTGAAACAGTCATTGATAATCTGAAGTGGGGCCTAAAACAGGATCCCACGTCAGACCATTAATGACCAAACTGTTTCACTTTAACCTATAGGCCTAATTAGTCGGCCTTATATAACAAAGCAGTAACATCTTTAGTTCAAAGATGTTCTTGCTCCTTTTCTTTTTCTTCCTACCTCTATGACTACTTTCTCTTTCATTCATTCTTTAAACCAAAAGCTGCTAATGCTATAATTTGATATTTAAAGTTCTATGGGACAGTCTACCGTTAACTTTTAGCTAAAATGATTTCCATGAATGCTAGTACCATACAATTCAATCACTTTCGGATTTTTAATTAAAGCAACATAGGTATTTCTACAAAAGCCATTTTAGCCCATTTAGAATGATGAATTTGCAAAGAAAAGTATACTTATAACACAACAGGACAACTCATTCACAAGGCACCTGACCCCTGGCCTTGAGCTTCAAAGCAATATTTTAGAATTTCATATGCATAATGTAGGTACTGACCTTTTCAAAGCAGCATCCAAGTTGTCCTCTTCCTTGTAATTGAAAGCCCCATCCAACCCAAACTTGTTCTTCAGTAGATCAACCTTATATTCAAAATAAATAAAGAAATAAATAAATAGAAATTAGTTGTTGTTTAGAATCGAATCCTGTGGACCCCCTTTTCACCCAAAATAAATAAAATCAGCAAAGCCAGTTCTAGTGAAGCTAAAAAAGCATCTATAATCCGAATACTATTATTAATATTATAATGGGCGAATTGCATTAACCCGTATGACTTTTAGCGTTTTGCAATAACCCCTTGTAATTTTATGTTATTTTATTTTTTATTTTTTTTACATATGCAGGGACATGATTAATTGAAATAGTGCTAATGTTGAAATAGTTTTATATTATTATGGTGGTACTATCCTTTAAATCTAATTTTCAAGAATTTTAGTTTACAAGTATGAGATGTCTTGTATCCTTAATCGTTCAATTTTGCTTTTCAATCTGATGTTTAGAGGATATACCTTTATATTGCCACAACGATACAGATGCATAGCAAAAGTTGAAGAATAAAGAGAGTTGAGATGAAATAGATGCGTAGCTAAAGCTGAAGAATAAAGAGAGTTGAGATGAAATAGCTTGCGGACTCTTTTGTGTGATAAAGGAAGCTGCCCAGATAATGTTGGCCAACCGATGAACCATATAATACAGTCCTCTACTTTGTTCTTGTTATTAATTTCTTGTTTCTTGCATGCTTTAAAACAAATTTTCAAATATTATAATCTGATACTACAATTTAAAATTTTTGAGTAAAATGACTTATCAAAATTTTTTTTTTTGAGTAAAATGATTCCTGGTAAAACCAATCTCAGATTCGCAATTAGAGGGACAAACATTAGTACAAATAATATAACCTATACAAATAATTTTATTGTTCAACTATATAGATGATCACAAATTACTGAAATCAAAAATTTCTGCCCTCTTTCTTGTTGATTTCTTTTACTGCACTTGCTTAATTTCTTGTTCTATACATGTTTTAAACCAAAATTCAAAATATTTTAAGTCGGTATTTATTCTAGAGTTCTATGTGACCACCAACCATCTAAGTAAAAGATCAAAAGGACAAGTGCAAGTCATTGTCACAACTGATGGCATATGTCTTTTTACAAGCAATGGATATGTAACAGAATGACTAACTCACAAGGCCTCTAAGTCATGCCCTTGGCAAAATTTTGGACTTCAATATGAAAAATAAAAGTACTGACTGTTTCAAAGCTGCATCCAAGTCATGCTCTTCTTTGTAATTGAACGCATCATCAAACCCAAACTTGTTCTTCAACAGATCAACTTTACTCAAAATAAAAGCAAAACTAACAGATTAGCTATTGTTGAGGATTGAATCATATAACCAAAATATTTTAGCTCAGACGAAATAAATCCATAAAGAATTCCTAGAGATACTGCTGGATTGGATTTGTTGTTGTCGCGATGGTGTAGTGCGACCCATACATTTGTCACAAAGTGGGGCGAGTTTACGCCGACCTTTGAGGATGTTGTTCATCCATTGGGTCTACATGTGATTGGTGGAAAATTTTCAGTGCCTCTCAAGTTAGATGTGGCGGAACAAGCCATCCTTGAGGTTTTGGAGGAGGGTTTAGAAAGAACAAAAAATTATGGATCCTTTTTTGGACCAAAGGGTGGCCGGCGCGAGAAAAAGAGCGAAGGTGCTAGAAAAAGTACAACTGGGGCTTGGATACGGTATTTTTTTAAAGATTTGCAACCTTATTTTAAAGGCAAGAAATCACAGCGCCCAACGATCGACGGGGATAAAATTGGACATCCTACAGAACTAGCGGCGTATGTACTGTGCTGGCTGTCGAAGTATATTTTTCCTGGGACCCCGGATGATGCCCCACTAAGCAGGTGGTGCCAGATTGCTATCAAGATAGCCAGTGGTGTTGCGCTCCCCTTAGAACCTCTATATTTAGGGACATTATACAATCGGTTGGACATGGTGGCAGAAGATTGCACGCGATCGGTGGGGCGATATCCTATGGTGTTGTACTTAGCCACTGGGTTTCTACAGATGTTCTTGTATGAGCGGTTTCCCTCCTATGGTCCCTTGCCTTTAGAATTGGGAGACCCTGAAGGGGTGCGAGGAAAACGTTGGATTGGTCGCACATGGCAAGTTTCGTTAAGTAATGTGATCGACTCAGAACCCAAATTTATGTTCAGGCCGTATAAGGACAAAGTGGCTGGAGTAATCGATGTACCATTGTACTGGGAGGATTCAAGGGTTTTCAACCTTAGGCAGGAGCCCTGCGATCGTGATAAACAGTCTTTTGCACTGACGGTGACGCCATGCTATCTATTTGGGCGATTTGAGCTGGGTGACGTACTAAAGGTATACAATCCCAAGCGTGTGTTGAGGCAATTTGGCTTTAACCAAGGTGTGCCAGGGGCGTGTGATCTTGTGGAAAAGTATGATGAGTTGGAAGAAACATTGTACCAATTCTCAGTTCAGTATGATTTGTTAGACGAGGGTATGGAGTATGTGATAATTCCTTATTGATCTCGCATGGGTGATATTACAGAGGGCTATCGATTGTTCTGGGAGCAGTGTATGGATAAATTCTAGATATTCTGCTTGCAAATGCCCCAACCAAGTTAACCTGTAACGATTTACAAGGATGGTGTGTCCTTGCGTTTACCACGCAAGGGAGTGCGAGGGAATCGCTTGATTATGGCCCCCTTGGCGTCAGAAATGGGTGAGGTGACATATGCTGCTGTGCCGGAGGTTGTGGTGGCTAGGTTTTTTGTCGATCCCGGAGCGACTAGAGGTCAGACTACTGCGGGGCCAAGTGTGGCCCAATCAGAGGTTCCAGTTAAGTTATGAAGTGGCGAAAAATAGGCAAAGGATATGTCAAGCGATGAAAGCGACAAACCACTCATAAATTTGGTTAGGCGTAAACGAAAGGCAGCTATAATCAATCTATCAGAAAACGTCAGTTCAGAGGAGGTTGTGTATGTGAGTGATGATAAAACAACGCAAGCGGATAGTCTAGCGGACCCATCGGCTAGTGAAAGTGTGTTTAGTGGAAGTGTAGGAGCAGCTACGGCGGCTGGAGGGTCAAGAAGCGAAATATTAAGGCGGTTGATGACGACAACAACTTCGCCGGCCGTGAATGTAATGATAGGTAAATATCCAACTTCGAACCATTTTTTTTATTTTTTTTTTTGTGGTTGTAATTGTGGGGAAAACTGATGGGTGTTTTAAATAAACTATGGCAGGTGATCGACCAGAAT